CTGAGCTCAAACAATCCGCCTGCCTCGGCCTCCCAGAGTGCTAGGATTATAGGCGTGAGCCACCGCGCCCGGCCGTAAAGTCACATTTTTTATAGAAAGTAAAGTCTAAATGGTGCTTTGCTGTTGAACATTTCTGAAGATAGTTCATATTTGTGTACAGTGAACTTAAGACAATTTATGTCTGCCCATATCACACTGCGAATTCACATTCTGTGGGTAAGTTTTGTTCTGATTTAAAATAGATTCCCAATGGAAGATTTGAATCTTTAATAAAATTATGTTAGCATTTAGCTGTGATGCGGATTGCTTGAATGACTTCATTCCACTCCTCCCTACAAAGTAACAACATATTCATCAAAGAAAATAGAGCCCATGGGACATAAATATTTTGGAGTTTGTCTTTTTCCTTCCTGAGGTTGGGATTTCTTGGACTTTTGCACATGGAAGTTTTCAACCAGCGACTAGAGCAAGAATATAACGCATCTGTTATTTTGACAACACCTACTGTTCCATATAAAGCTGTTCTTTCATCAGCAAAATTGATAAAGGTACTATACTACTTTATATTGTTTTGCATCAGCATAAAAGGGAAAAATAAATGTATATATGGGAATGCAGGATAAATTTTTTAGTATACCAGTAGCTGAGTAGCTATTAAAGCTCATTAGATATTTATTGATTAGTATTAATAAAAATTGAATTACCTTTAGGCTAGTGATGGAGAACCTTTTTGAAAACTAACTTATGCAATATTTTTCTTAATCTGATAAAATCTCCACATCAAAACTAGTCTATTACTGATAGAAAAAAGTAAAGTTACTGATAAAAATACTGTAGGAAATCTGGCACATACATAATTTTTTGTAAGTAATTTATCTTGTAAAAAGTGAAGCATTGATTTCTGTGACTGTGGGACATTTTAGATTTCATGTTGATAGAGACAATATTGGGTTTCATCTAGCTGGAAAGCTATTTTAAACAAATATTAACTTTGACATCTGTAAATACTTTCCAACAAAATTTACTTAGTAAACTAATTATAATGCCTTATAAGGGTCAGCTTAAAATGTCATACTTCTTCTAAGTGGTCCATGAAATGTGTTTAGT